GTGGTTTGAGTCCTGGATCTGGTGGCTTAAACTCACGCCGGGCATATGTGCGTGCGTGCCCGAGATCCTGAGAGGAGAATGGAGGAGAAGGGATTGCAGCGTGACCATCCCCCCTGGGGGGTGATTTCTCGCTTTCTGTCTCTATGTCTCTCTCTCTCTGTCTGGCGAGCGCACGCACCCTATAGCGAAAAACTCTCCAAAAAAAAAAAAAATTAAAGCAAGAGGGAGACCAAGGAAGTTATTTTAGCTAGACAAAACTGAAAAGGCCAACTACACAAAATGTGCCAATTCTTTATCCAAAATCTTTCTCTTCCATTTTCCAACTGTATCATCTTCACAAGGAATTCAAATGCGCATGGTATTTCTTGAGAAGTATTATGACATAATAATAAGTAACTCCTTCCAATTTTAATCTCACAGTATTCATTAGTTTTCATAAGATGTTATGCGAATTGGTATTCTTATCACAAATAAAGAAATGGAGTATCTAATAATTTAAAATTTTGAATGGCAAGATTTTCTGCAGTAAGCAAAACATGTCATTTGCTTTCCAACACTTTCAAATTAACTAGAACATAATTGGATGTTAATAATCGAATACAAAAAATGCACATGGTGGATAATTTCCCACTCTCCAAAGGTTAGATTGCCACAGGGAAGTAATAAAAATCATCTTTAATAAAGCAAAATTTAAATGGGGAGTTACACAAGTTCAAATAAACTATGAATTAATTATTGTGCTTATTTTGCATATTAACTATTACACAGATACAGCCAATATTTGCTACATTAAATAGCTCTATCACTTTAGAGAAAATATTTGATTCTGAGCAATCTTATTAACTCCTTTGATCAATTCGTTATGACCTTCACACAGTTGTCAGTATCCAAAAATAGTAACTTTTTAAATAGAATCTAAGTGAATAAGGTGAAGTTCAAGGATGTTTGAAGATGCACTAAACTGAAAGTAAATGGATAAATTTAAGAGCTTGCAAAGAACCACTGAATATGTAAGAACTTGGAGAACTTTAGAAGAGAGAGAAATTGACTACCCACAAATGCTGATTTTGTGAGGATGCTTGATTTGTTGGAAGAGTTTGCAAATATTTGAGAGCTACCATTATTTTATATTCAGGTATTTTCTTTGATTAGATTTATCAAACATGAATTATCCCAAATATTTTTAAGCACCTAGTTGTTAAACAGAGAAATAATCCTGTCAGTATATTTGAGTTTATGAATGCTTAATATATTTTTTTTCAAATATATGTTTTTCTAAATTTACCATTACTTTAGGTTATTTATACAAGTTGCTATGTTGGAAAAGACTAATGAACTGTGCTTTGCTTTGATTTTTATTAGGTATATCTTTATGGGGCTGTAAGGGTAGATCAAAGGCTATTTTCTCTTTGGGGGATCATTTGGATAACTACATGGGTTCTGACCCAGGCTGTGAGTTAAACGGCATAAGAACAGCATGAATGGTTTAATGCAGAAATCAATAAATATTTCTGAATTATACCACTATTTAATTTTGAAAACAGAATAAATAGTAACTGAACTGAAAGAAAGTGCAACAAAAAGTCACTTAAAAAAAAAAACAATAAAATTACAACAGATTCATTCAACAATTATTGTTCTCTTGTGAAAAGATCAAGTTTGAGGTTAATGTGACATTATCTATAAAATGCTGCAAAATCTCTTGGCCTTGAAAGGTATGTCAACATGCTGCCAGCTTGGGGTTACCTTAGTAACTAATAGAGCAAGGCCTTGTGAGTATTTAGTGACCACGGAAAATGGAAAGCCGTTTGAATGCTCCAAGTGGAATCAAAATATATATATTTTTATTATATTAAACAGGTTTGTTTTCTTTCTCTTTCTCATTTATGGCCTTTCAGAAAAGGTTTTAAAATTAATTTGGTTTAAAAAAAAAGAAAACACACCAGAGCAAAACTAGTATTGGGAGACCTGGGGCAAATAACTGTATTTCAAGTATAAATAGTAGCCATTTATTACTATGACGTTTATACAAAATCCTAACCTTAAATCTGCTTTGAAATGGAAAATAAATAACACAGAAGACCTAAAATGCTTTAGGTCATTTGGGGTTTCACTTTTAACTTGGATAAATCCTTTGCCTGAAAGCAGTCAAGACAAGAATACTTTTCAGTGATACCTCGGGATAATTGGAGACTTCAAAAGTTATTTTATGATTACCTTTACACAAGTCATCAGGCTAAACAGAAAATTTCAAATTGTTAGTGACTAGGAATTTATCCAGTTCGTTCTCACCTTTTCCCAGGTAATATGAGTGCTCAGAGAAGTCACCAAGCTATTTTGGAACAAGCAAGGATAAGAAAAACTCCTGGGCTGGCAGGTGGCATGGTGATTAAGGGCGCTAGACTCCCACATGGCCGACCAAGGTTCAGATCCTGGACCTGGCAGTTTGCCTTTTCACTTTCAGTCTCTCTCTCTCTCTCTCTGTCCCTCTATAGTCAAATTAAAGGAAATAAATAAATAAAGTTAAATAAAATAAGAAAAACTCCCTATTTGACTAGTACTTCTCCCTTTACTATGCTACCTCTCCAACATCATTGCAAAGTGTTTCTGATATGGTCACTGAATTAACAATCACCAGATTGATAATTTTTTAAAATAATTATTTTATTTATTATTTATTATTTTTTTTTTTTAATTTGTTTTTATTTTTTAACATTAATATGCTATACATCATTACAGTATACAAAATGAAGTTTTCATCCAAAATACATTGTCTGTTGGCTCAATCAAGTACATCAACATATGTGTTATCAACAAACAATTTTTCCATTTCTTTTTTTTTTTCCATCCAGAGTACACTGTATATTGTCTCTATCAAGCATATCAACAAACATGTTATTATTAGCAAGTGATCTTCCATTTCTTGTTTTCTGTATGTTTTGCTTTTTTCCCCCTATCCTTGGTTCCCTCTCTCTTACCCTCTGCCACCTCCTGTTCTCCTCCCACACTTTCTCTGTTATCTATGTTTGCTTTCTATACCATTTTCCCCCCACATTTTATTGAATCACCAAAGACCCTCATCAATCCAAATACCCTCCTAGCAAACACATGTGACACATTTCCATGAGCACAAGTCTAACTTTACGCATCCTATCAAGTAGCACCTAACTGGGGCTACATATCCTACTGCAGTCATTGAATAGATATATTTTGTTTTCCTGAAACTCTTTTTTGTAACTCAATTTACATTCCTTCTCTAGGCATCATCACAGCACACAAAATGCGATCTCCCATCCAGTACACACTGCATAGTGACTCAATCATGCACATTACAAAAAATATAAATTTCCACTTCTAGTTGCTAGAATTAATTCCACCCCTCTTTCTGACCCTCTGTCCCTTCCCACCCTCCTCTCACACCACCTCTAGTGTCCAAAATTGTCCTCCATTCCCTTCCCACCCACATTGCATTGATCACACAATTTCCTACATAACCTGACTACTTTCAAAGGTGAGTTCCCTCGTTACTACTAAGAAAACCAGTTTTAACTTAAATCAAAGAACCGCCAAGGAACTTTGCTTAAAGCCCGGAAACAGGTTAGGATTCTGTTCAAATGGTAGGTGCATGAACCTATCAGTCTCATATACTTTTATCTTCTGTTCTGGTTCAATTTTCCTGATTAAATTCTGGGATATAGTATTCAACTCCAGACTTGTCCCTATGATTAAGTTAGCTACTTTCTCAGTTTTTGGACTCTTATTTCCATGTATCTGCGTTTAGTTTTCCTGATACAGCACATCCTTGAGAACTTCTTGGAGGTCTGGTCTGGTGCTGGTAAATTCTTTCAGGTTTTGTTTATCTGAGAATGTTCTTGTCTTTTCTTCCCACCTGAAAGATAATCTTGCCGGATACAGTATTCTTGGCTGAAACTGCTTCTCTCTTAACACTTGGAATATATTTTCCCATTCTCTCCTCGCTTTTATTGTTTCTGATGAGAGATCTGCTGTTAGCCTGATGGGATGTCCTTTGTAGGTAACTTGATGTTTTTCTCTTGCTAATCTTAGTATCTTGTCTTTGTCTGCAGTTTTGGTCAACCTGGCTATAATGTGTCTTGGAGAAGATCTTCTAGGGTTGATTCTATTTGGGGTCCGTTGTATTTCCTGGGACTGGATCTTTGAATGCCTCTCTAGGTTTGGAAAGTTTTCTTGCAGGATTTCATGGAATAGATTATCAATGCCCTTATGGGTTTCCTCACCTTCTGGAATGCCAATTATCCGGATATTTGGACGTTTGATGGTATCCAGTACTTCTCGCATATTATTCTCAAATTTTTGTGCCATTTTCTCAGTCTTCATGGTGGATTTTTCTAGGCCAGCCATTTTTTCCTCTACATCTGAGATTCTATTTTCTGAATGATCTAGTCTGCTTTTAATACTTTCCAGGGAGATTTTTACTTCTTGTATTATAGACTTCATCTCTAGCAGTTCCGTTTGAGTCTTTTGTAAAGTGTGTAATTCCTCTTTTAGATCTTGCAGGAATTTCCTCATCTCCTGGAACTTGTCAACTTCTTTCTCCTTTCTCTTTAGCAGTTCATTATCTCTCTTCTCTTCCATCTCTGTTAGCTTAGACATAATGAATGATCTGAATTCCTTATCAGACATTTCCATGATTTTCACCGAACTGCTTGTGGACGAAGAAGAGTTACTCTTTTCCCTTAGAGGAGAGGTATTTTCTTGTTTTCCCATATGTCTCGTGATCCGGCGGTGATTTCTTGTCACCTGATGGATGTTGTGTTTCTTTCAAATTCTTGAAGTTCAGCCTTAATGTTCAGGAGCAAGCAGACAGAGGTGATCTAGAATCTCTTTGCCATTCTATTGTGATCACGCTAGCTCGTTTGTTGGAGGCTGAATTATTAGTAGAAAATCTTCATTCCCTTAAAAATCTAGTTCACTGGAGCCATGTGGAAACTTCTCCTGAAGGCCCAGCTTCTTATTCTTGCCACGGTCCTGGCTGGGCTCTTCCAGGGCCAGCTTGCCAATCAACAGGGGCTTCATGAACTTGCGCACGAAATCAAGGTTGGGGTGAAAGGCACGGAAGGCATCTGTGGCATCTTCTCCCGCGTAGTTACCAATGACCCGGTGGCCCCCTGGGTGCTGGTTGGACCACTTGGTGATGTTGCAGACCTTGCGGTCGATGATGAGCCACTTGTTGGTGCGAAGGTTGTGCTTTTGCATCTCCTCCCAGCTCCTGCCTCTGCCCTGCTCCGGCCCTGGGCGCGGGAGATCCAAGAGGAGCACCCAGCCTGGTTTTAAGCTGCCAGGTCCAGGACTAGAACCACAGTCGACTATGTGGGAGACCAGCAATGTAATCATTACGCCATCTGTTGGTCCCACTCAGAGATGAATTTTAAGATGTTAAAGTCGGTCTGTAGCTTTTTGATTGGCTAATTGTTTTGTGAGTTTTCCAATCCTAGTTTCGCTTTGGAATTACCAAGAAACAAGAAAAAAAGAAAGAAGAAAAAAGACCAATAAAGGAGACAAATTATGAGGAACACTTGACAAAGGCTTGGGCATACAGCCAATTCAGAAAAGTCGTACTGACATCCTCCCTGCCCTCTAGGGTCAGATTTTCTGTCCTGACTCATACAAAGGTGAAGGTCATGTGGTAGACTAGGAAGACCATGAAACCAAGAAGAAGCTGGCAATGGTTAGAAACCAGCAGGGCAGGACTGAGTGTGAAGAAGCCCAAGAGACAAGTGAGCTGGAGAGACAATGGTTAAGACAAAACAGTGAGGATTTCAGAGTTGGGGTGTGCCTGAGTGACGGGGTTCATGAAGTGTATACCAGTTTTTCAAAGGGATTTGCCAACTTGGTTTTTTACCATTTCTTTTTTCAGAAAGTCTTCTATAAAGGACTAGCCAGTAGCATGGTGGTTGAGGCAGCTGGATTCCACATGGTCAGCTGTGTGGTTCAAGTCCCAGACCCAGCAACTTGAAAAATACAACAGGTGCTGTGTGTATATCCAAAATCCTGAAAGGAGAAATAGAAAAGATAGTGGCATGGCCATCCCCTGGGGAGGTGCTTTCCTAATTTCCTTTCTCCCTCCTCCAGAAAGCACACTTTCCCCTCTAAGAAAAAAGAAAGAGAAAGAAAGATAGTTAGTCTCCATAGCTTGGATGACATCATGATGTGTTATGCATCACAATAATTAAAGAAAGACACTAATGTTACTTTTGAGATCTAAGAACAAGAAAAGCTTCTTCCTAAATTTCCCCTTGATGATATCTCTCACCTTCTCAAATTCTCTCTTCTTTTTTAAATTTAATTTTACTTATTGTTATTATTGTTACTATTTTAATTTGACCAGAGAAAGAGAGAAGTAAAGTGAGAAAGCAAGCCTCCAGGTCTAGGACTTGAACCATGGTCGACCATGTGGGAGTCCAGTGACCCAACTACTACACCACCTGCCAACCCCATATTCTCTCTTCTTAAACAAAAGCAGAAGGCCAGCAGGTGGCATAGAGGTTAAGGCAGCTGGATCCCACATAGCCAACTAAGTAATTGAAGTCCTGGACCTGGTGACCTGAAAAATACCAGGTACATATTCCTGTGTGCCCAAAATCCCAGAAGGAGACTGGAATGGCCACCCCCTTCCCTGAGGGGTGCTGATTTCTCACTTTCCTGCTCGCTCTCTCTCTCTCTTGCTCTCCGTGTGTGTGTGTGTGTGTGTGTATCTTCAGTGAGGACATGTATCCAAGTAAATAGAGTCCAGAGGTGTTATTTAAGAATACTTTTAAAAATCAGCACTAGAAGCACATGATGGATGAAAATTAGAGTAACATATTTATAATCTCATATTTTGCTGCAGGAAAGAACAGGCTGGACTTTGAAAATGCACAATGAGATATGAAACCTTCTTGGCTGGGGCTTATTGTACCTCGCAATCACTGGAAATTATTGCTTCATTATCACAGCTTCTGCAGGATAGAACTTGGTAGAGTGAGTGGAAATTCTGAGTCACCTCCAAAAATCCTTTTCAGGGAAATTAGGTAAATAATCCTATTTCTTAAGGTAGAAACCATTTTGACAACAATTTCTTCTTTTCAAGTCCTACCCAGTAACATATTACCTACTTTTTGAATCAGAAATAAGTCAAACCAGAATGTTTTAAGTATATATTAATAACAGTTCTTGGGGATTGTATAAGAGATATTTTAAACAGCAGTAAGCAAAGGCTAACGTGGTTGAGGTCTCACTTAGTAACCAGTTGGCATTTACTTTATCATGCCTGTAGTTTGAAAGGCAGCATTTAGGATGGATGAGTAAGATGTTCTATCATGATATTGGACCAAACAGCCGCTGCCCCACTGGGTGTGGTATGGTGGCTTCGAACTCTTTATTTATTTATTTATGTTTATGAACTCTTAATTTGAGAACAGTTTCAGAATTACAGGGACGTTGCAAAGTTACTACATGGAGTTCCCACATACCCGACTCCCAGGTTCCCCTATTATTAACATCTTGACATTAGTGTGGTGCATTTATTAGCATTAATGAACTGATCCTGACACATGGTTATTAGCTCAAGTCTATGTTTACTCCGATTTCCTTGGTTTTTGCTTAATATCCTTTTTCTGTGGCATGATCCTATCTAGGATATCACATTGCATTCGATTGTCATGTCTCCTTAGGCTCTTTTGACTGTGACAAGGTGATGAGGCGTCCTTTTTGAGAATCTCATCAGTTTGCAGCAGCACTGGTCAGGTATTTAAATGAATGTCTTTCAACTGGGGTTTGTCTGTTTTTATCATCATTAGACTGGGTTTCTTAGATTTGGGGAGAAAGACCACAGAAGTAAAGTGCTATTCTTTTTTTTTTTTTTTTTTAGGTTTTTTTTTTTCTTTTATGGAGGACACTTGCACTCGCTAGAGAGAGACAGAGAGGGAAAGTGAGAAAGCACCCACCCGTGAGATGGGGCATGCGCACACATGTGCCTGGTATGTTTTTCAAGCCACCAGATCTGACCCAAACCATGCAGTCAGCCATGTCAAATCCAGCCACCTTCACCACCACCATGCCACTGGATAGCCCAAAGAGCCATTCTTACCATGTCCTATCAAGGGTCCATGCTATAAACATGATTATCACTGTGAATGTGAGCAGGATGATTTTTTACTTCTCCAGGGAAGCACAGAGCTCCTGAAGGATGAGCCAAACCCCAGGACACAGGCATGTGTAGGAGAGGTTGTAGAGAGAGAAGAAGATGCTCCAGATTCAATAATAGAAAAGGGAGAGAATCCTAGGCAGAGACCGTCTGCTTCTGGGAACTCAGTGATTTACACTTCTGAGGAAAGATTGCTTCCAAGGAGGACGCTTCTCCAGTGCCTGGCGAGTGGATGCCCAGGGAAGGTTTGGACCATGCTGCAAGGAAGTCCAGGAATCCTGTGGGTAGTGGCCATGGTGGTGGCTCAGCTGAGAGTAATTTACAAATATGAGTATTTGCTTTGGAGGCAGAGCTTATGTTAAAAATGGAGCCTATTTAAGGGAGTATCCTAAATAAATTAAAGCACAAGCAATACACAAGATATGACATAAACTGGGCTGGTAGGAGAAATGTACCTGCGATTTCTATCCATGCCTTAGGAGCAGAGGGCATGGGCACACCTAGGCTAGCCTGGAAAGGGGTCAGCACAGCTCACGAGCTGCAGGTCCAGGAAGGCAGGAGCCAGCCTGGTCCGTAAAGAAGCTGTCTATGTGGCCTGGCGGGCATCAACCTTGCCATCTCCCAACACCCCGTGCTTGGGATGGAACAAGAGCAGTTCCAGTCTCCTCTTGCTCATCACAAGGACTCTGCCTGGCATACAGGCGGTGAGTTTCCCTGTGTGCTCCTGTTTGGGAAGTCCCAGGCCGCTGCAGGATGTCCTCTGCGGTGCCCATCCTGTCCTTATCACAGCTGCAGGCAGCCTGAGTCACATTCCTCCCGCCTGAGTCACTGCTCGAGGCCATGGGCCCCCTCGCCTCCTGCTTGGCCTAAGGACCAGGCCACTGACATTCCGTCTTTTCCTTCTCCTCTTATCACCCCAAAACACTAGACTTCATTTCTATTGCCTACAGGGGATGACTATCATCCAAGGAAAGTTTTCCATACTTCACTCATTCCTCTTTCTTTTCTGCATCTGTCTCTAATCTAGCCTAACCCATTGCTGAAGCAACAGCCTGGGTTTCACACCTAATTATGATGTCATTTTTACACTTCTTTTTATCTAATTTTCCTTGACTAGTCAAGCCCCACTTTGATCAAAAGTGTAGCCTATCCTTTTCCACTGATGTGCACACTCCCCGTTCACCTCTTTGGTGTGTTTTTGATGTTTTCTTTCATGCTTATCGAGGTTTTATTGTAATTTAAGTTTGCTATAGGGTGCAAGCACTCACTGGAGAGAGAAGGGGTTGGGAGAGAAAAAAATAACTCCCGGGAGGACAGCCATGCCACAATCCCTTCTCCTCCATTCTCCTCTTGGAATCTTGGGCATGCATGTACACATACCCGGTTTGAGTTTTAGGACTTGACCACAGTCACTGCATGGGAGTCCAGCGACATAATGATTATGCCATTTGCTGCTCACAGATCTTATGTCTCTTAAATGAGTAGGAGACCCCTGGAGTTATGTCATATTAAATTTCAAGTTTAAAGTACCTGTAAGACATAATTGAGGGGGACCAGCAGTTGGCATAATGGCCAATGTCGAGTCCCAGACCCGGTGGCTTACATTCATGCTAGGTGCATGTTTTATGTGAGCCCAAGATCTCGAGAGGATAATGGAGGAGAAGGGACTGTGGTGTGGCCATCCCTCCTGGTGGGTGTTTTCTTGCTTTCTGTCTCTCTGTCTCTGTCTTTCTGGCGAGAGCATGTGCCCTATAGCAAAAACCTCCCTCCCCCCAAAATTTATTATTTTATACATTCAATTACTGTACATCACTACAACTTGGGTAAAATGAATTTACCCAACATGAACACACTTCTCACCAGTCCAATAGAAAACATTATACATGTTATCATCGACACTCTTCCATTTCTGTGTCCTCAAATATCTTGCCTCTCTATTTTTCTCTTTGATTTCTTTCCTTCCACTCTCCCCAATCTCCCACTCTTTTCCCAGATTTCCTCCAGTGTCCATAGCCATTTTCCATTCTTCTATATCCTCTAATCTTTCAGTTTCTGCCATAGAGTACAGTCA